ACCAAGATAATCAATTCTCATTATTATCAATAAGGCTCAGAACCTGTCCAAACTTACAACAGTGAACCATATAACATATTCACATTACTTCCAATAACAACAACACATATGAGACTCAGGCTCATATCAAAACACTTCATACTTCCCGTTTGATATACATTTTAGTGCTGTATCAAAAGAATGTGAAAAAACGTTTTAAAAACCGCTGCTGCGTATATAAACCCGACAGGCTCGCTCGAGCGAACACTTTATCGCTCGAGCGACCAGACACACGAAACCCTCGCTCGAGCGAAGACAAGCTCGCTCGAGCCAATGGAGTCCATCCCCTATCTCCTCCCAAACAAAATTTGGTTTAGAGGTCCATCCCCTATCTTCCCCTAAACCGTGGAGTACATCCCCTATCTCCTCCCACACAATATGCAAATGCAATGCTCAATCAATACACATATTTTCTGTATTAATTCAATAGTCAAAATTAATGACTTAACCAATGTAATTAGTTTCAGTTATTCCTAATCTACATGCAATGTCTACAACAATCACGACTATCCTCCACCGATAGCCCAAAATAGTTATTTCTAGACTGGAAATAAATATATCAACAATTCAATAGGCGAGTGATTTAAATTGTCCAACTACATCATTTAATCGATGAATTCCTCAATTTCATGAATTTAATCAAATTCCTCAATTTTCTTAAATTAATTATACCAATTAATTTATTAATACAACTAGGGTTTCTCCTAAAATTACCAAAGTATCCCAACATATCAAAATACCAAAACTTAGAACAAAACTTATAAGATGGAGTAGGAAATCCCTACCTTAAAGAGAAGAACTCAAATGGAGAAGATGATAAAAGTCCAAAGTGTCCCAAATCCTCTCTTTTTCAGATTAAAAGAAAGCTCTCGCGAAGCTCTACCTTTCTTCCAAAGGAACTAGGGTAGAAGACCACAAAGAATAGATCAAATCTTAGAGAGAAGGTGAGAGTAGAGAGAGAAACTCTCAAGTGGCGGTTTTCAAAGAGTTAGGGAAAAGAAGTAGGTCAAAAAGTGATCCAAAAAGTGAAATCACGAACTGATGCAGTCGATTCCCCGCTCGAGCGTGAAAAACCCCGCTCGAGCGTCAGACACAGACTCACGCTCGAGCGTGAAAAGAGCCGCTCGAGCGTCGATTGCACACTTCCAGAAGTTTTGCAGGCGATGGTATCCGCTCAAACGCCAAACTCCCCGCTCGAGCGTATGGACAAAAACAAAGGATCACGCTCGAGCGTAAAAACTGCCGCTCGAGCGGACGAACTGTAGAGTAAAGTACTGGGAGATAGAAAAACATGCTCGAGCGTCAAAACTCCCGCTCGAGCGGAGAAGCAACAACGAAGAGCCCGCTCGAGCATTAAAACTTCCGCTCGAGCGTGAAGGCCAAAATCTGGGCATCACCTTTTGGTTTCAAAGTGCAACCAACCTGTTTCAAACTTGACTATCACAACCCACAACTCAAATACAAAGAGTAAAGGCTAGAAGTGATAATGATACACAAACAAGTCCACGGAACTAAGTCCTGAATACAGTATACAAAGGAAGGAAAAACCGGGATCGCTATACTGACTGCTCTTCATTCCAGCAAAAAAATGACCACGCAAATATGACTGAGCCCACATGCCTTTATTGTTGTAGGTGTCTGATACCCACTTGTTATTTTGAAGGCCATATTTTCTAACCATCTTACTCCAAGTTTCCTCAAATACAACCTCATTCGCATCAAGATCCATGAGATGCTTGAAATGTCCCTCGAATCCATCAACTCGAACATTTCGCTTGGCATTTCTATGCATATGCCAATTACATAGACGATGCTTGGCACTCGGGAAGACTTTTTGTATTGCCTCATGCATGGCCATATCCCCATCTGTCAACACTGACACCGGTCTTTTGTTATCCATGGCCTCTAACAACTTTTGCAAAACCCATGTGTATGTTGCAATTGTCTCATCAACAAGCAAGCTGCATGCAAATATGGTGGTTTCAAAATGGTTATTGACCCCGGCGAAAATAACAAAAGGTTTGTTATATGCATTCGTTTTATAAGTTGTATCGAAGACCAACACGTCACCAAATGCAGCATAGTCTAGGCGAGACCTTGAATTTGCCCAAAACAATTTGTCAAGCCGGTTCTCTTGATCCTTGTCATACTTGTAAAAGAAGTAAGGATCAGCATCAGCTTTTGCACATAAGTAAGCCAAAGCACACTCCGCATCACCATCCTTTATTTCTACTTTGCGCTCGGCTTGAATATAATTGTGCAAATCCTTGTGAATAAAGCCCACATTTGCGAAAGACCCAGATTGTTGCACCAACAAATCCATTATCTGGCTTGTCTTGACACCAACATCGTGCAAAGTCTTTACTTGAGCTTTGTCGGGGATCTTTACAAACCTATGCGACCGAAGAAATGGCACACATGGTGATGTTGCCAATGGATGGTTATGTTCCATGTTAAAAGTGAGTGACAATGTATTTGCCTACATCCAGATTGTACCTTATGCGGAAATGAGCATCACAACCAACTCTAGTCAATGCCCTGGCAGCTCTTTTCTATCAATATGGGCCAAGTGTTGCTTTGCTCTTTGGCCTTGCCTTGAGCAAACCCATTTTCTACTAAGAACCTTTGTTGCCTGCATTGTTCGCGTGTCTTTCCTAATGCTAAATCCCACAACTTTAGCATATTGATTATAGAAATCATTGGCATCCTCTTCTGAATTGAATTGCATTTCAAGAACATCATTCTTGGTTAAACTTTGAATAGGGTCATTTGCATGGGAACCTAATTCTTCTTTATTCCCACAAACTTCATCATCTTCAAGCTTACGCTCAAATTTGGTACATCCAAAAGGATCCATGATAACTACATCAAAAACAATACGACAAGAATAACATTATCTTATAAAATGAATGAAAATTCCTAAAATCACATAAGAGAATTTTGTAAAAGAGCAAATAACAGACAAAAACAATAATAGAATAATGTACATAGATTTAATGACATAGTTGCCATTAATGACATAGTTATTGAAAATCAAAATAAATAGAGAATGATTCTGTAATCAACAATCAAAATATTGGTTGATCAATAGAAACGCAATAAAATAGAAACAAAGAAAAGGAAAAAGCAAATAAATAAAAATATATGGAGACTCATTAAGGCAATTCATTTGGGTTCTTTGGTATTTTTCTTAATTGACATGGGTTATTTTTAGGTATTTGGATTGCTCTAAAACACACCCGCAAGTATAACTTTATACACTGTCCAACTTATAGCAAATAATTAATCAAACTTATAACTTTATAGCAAAGAATTAATAAAACAAATAAAAATAAAATGAATTTTATTTCGACTATTTATAATGTTAGTAATTAGAATTCACATAATTCTTTTGACTTATCCTCCATGTATAAGTTAAGATCTATTCTTCAATATCACGGAACGTCTTTTTTCTTAAGACTTCAATAAAAGATTATTTTGAAAAACAAGGAATAATTCATTATGAATTAAGACCTAAGAAACTTCAGAATTTTGGACTAAATCAATGGAAAAACTGGTTAAAAGGTCATTATCAATACCATTTATCTCAGATTAGATGGTCTAGATTAATAGCAGCAAAATGGAAAAATAGAATCAATCAATGTCGTACAATTCAAAATCAATATTTAAACAAAGAGAATTCATATGAAAAAGACCTATTAATTCATTACAAAAAACAAAACGACTACGAAGTATATTCATTACCAAATCAAAATGAGAATTTTCAAAAATACTATAGATATAATCTTTCTTCTTATAGATCTATTAATTATGAAAATAAGAGGGACCCATATATTTATGGATCACCATTCCAAGTAAATAAGAATCAAGAGAGTTCTTATAATTACAACACACATAAACATAGGGGCAAATTTTTTGATATACTAGGGGATATCCCTATCAAAAATTATTTAGGAAAAAGTGATATTATGTATATCCCTACCAAGCAAATTACTTTTTTTTAATATAAATGAAAATGGTAGTGAAAATAAAAACATCAATAGAAAGCAAAAGGAGGTTATACCCTCGAATGAAAAAAAAAAAATTATACACGTGTTCAAATGAAAAGGAGGTTATCTGTCAAAAAATTTATCTATACGTTCAAATGTTATTTATCTGTACACATGTCACTTACTTTTCTAATTACTTGTCCAAATATCACCTAATTATACACGTGTCACCTATTTGTCCCACCTTACCGTTACCAACCATTGTTGCCAGCTACCGCCATCCGCCAGCCATTGGCAACTTTTTCAACAACTTTAGGAATGATAAATGAACCAAACAACTTGAGCTCGACTTATGTTCAGCTCATTAAAAACTCGTTCGAGCTCAGTTCGTTAAGTAAATAAGCCAAACTTGAATAGTCAATTGCTTGTTCGGCTCTGTTTGATGAATCTAAAACTACCAAACTACTTCAGGTCGGCTTGAGAAAAACTCATTTGATATCGACTCGAAAATTTAATGAACCAAAGTTGAACAAATTTTAAAATTCGCTAAAGTTATCAAAGCAAGTTATAACAATCAACTATTCAACTCGTTTATTATCCCTAAAGAGGGTTTAAATAGGACTACAACTATTTGTCTTCTCATTTTACATCCCCTCCATACCTTATTCTCTCTACTACTTACAACACAATTTTGGAAGCAATTATTATATATGTAGAATCACTTGAAAATAAAATAAAATAAACACTCTAGAGGATTCATGCTTCGTCTGTGATGGGTGGCTGTAGGCAAAAATCTCAGTATAGAATTTTCAAATGTCTATCAAAATTAATGAATTTACTTGAACCAGACTCTCTTGTGATGTATTTGCCCTAGAGTTCTTTCTTTTCAAACATGTACATTTCTCTACTCCCTCAAAATTATGTTTATTTTTGTCGTGGGTGGAAAGCAAAAGTATCAGTTCAGAATTTCCAGACATTTACATGTCATTCAACAAATTTGAGTTCAACCAAAAATGAATTCAATCTCTCTTGTGACATCATCTCCCTCTAA